AATATTTCCCTTTCACAAAGGCAACTGGAGTGTCGCAATAATCATGGCGTTTTATAAAATTGTAAAATTAGCCCGAACCAAATTGAAAAACCGTCGACCGGGAGAAAATAATGACAATTAACCAGATTTCGCATTAAATTTGAAACTTGCGACATTAATTAAAGGAAATGCTTACACGGAACGGTTTGTTTGTAATAACAGTTTATTTATGTCCTAATTAAGTGAAACTGAACTGAAATGCCGGAAAATGTGGACAGTCCAAAATGCCACTGCCAGCAGTAAACGACTTCTAAGCCTCAACAGAACTAATCAAATAATGATAGGAACAATTACGGGCCACTGTCTTCTTAACAAATATCTCTTTGACCTAGGCGCATGAGACAATCCCATGAGCAGAGGCTGTTTCAGCGCAGAGGAATCAGTCACCCATGTAGTCCTGGAATGCGTGGCTGTGGCTTCCCAACGAACAGAAATCCTCGGAGCAGTGAGGTTGCTCTGTGAAGCCTGCGAAGTGTCTAGGAAACTTCTGGAAGGAGCTAGGCTGGCTTAATTAGCCAGGACTTTACGCATAATGGACCAAATAAGTGCGGAAATTGAGTTCACACTACTAACCGGACTAAAATGCGTACAGTGTTTGGTTGTGGTGTGGACCGTTGACGCCACGATGCGCAAGCGAGCTTTATCTCCGGTTAGGCGCATGCGCAGCATAATTCATTGCAATGGACTGAATGTTTCAATTTTAATTTTATTATTGAATATGCTTTAAAGCTACCAATATAATATTTAGGATAATATTGTAACTAACACAATAATAACGATATGGACTTATGATTGTTTGCCTTGAATAAATATATTATTATTATTAAATAGTTTCATATACTTCACATTGATACGTATATATCTTTAATATATTATCAGTTAAGTTGTGCCTAACTCGAGTCTTAGCACCAAGTATGACTATCCTTAGAAAGTCATACTGTCAGAAACGTATTGTTAATAAAGTTTTGCACAGTTGGTGATGGGCCAGCTTACAGCGCTCCCTTAGGCATGAAAGTTAATCTATAGCTGTAGCTAGAACAAAGTTAGTACACTCCATTGGTATCTACGTTTTGTATAACCTGTAAAAGCCATTAGTTTAATATAATTAAAACAGGTTTTAAGTTTTAAGTGCCTTTATTGCGCCAGGCAGCGTTGAATTGTTAAAAAAATACCTATATATGGTTACATTTTTATCTCAATACTAGGCAAACTTTTTTAGTGTAACGCAGGGGGGTAATTTGATTGGTAAGGGCTTTCGAAAATTAATAATTTTTGAAAGTAATTGCTTGTAATTTCAGTTTTTCATTATACGATTTAAAATCTACTTACTATTTTTTGTTAAAAATATCCAAGTCATTTCGTCCTAAAACCTATCATTAGAGTTTCTTAAATTTATTTTCTTAGCAATTCATTTTTAGATATTAAAAATTATGTATGTTCATATATGTCACCCCCTCGGTCATAAGAATTAGGAAGGCTAAGGTGGGAACACCGGTGTAACGTAATTTAACCGCCACAATCTAACTTTGTAATAATACACATAATATACATACATATATATAATTTGTAATCCTATAGCTAACATAAATTATATCAACATAAACAATTGTACTAAACCTATAGCCAAAGATGGAATACATAATTTATACAAAACGTTACATATTTTATGAAAGGAAAAAATCAATAAAATGTATTAAACACGTAATACCTACGAGTAATTCGACTGTGGTCTGTGAGGGTGTGAAAGTCAGAGTATGTATGTGAGGGTGTGTATGTGGGGTGTGCTCATGCTGGAAGTGCTTTAGCGCTATAAATATTGTTTATGTTTACTTGCATGTTAGACATATTTAATTGCACACTGGCTGATTTTACTAGGATGGCATTATTCATTATCATCAAAGGTTTAGACATTGTTCTTAGTTTACATTTTGTATTAATACGTTTTCTATTATATTAGTATTAAGTTAATAGAATAAAAAATAAATAAATCAACTACCCCAGACCATAGACACTCATTGGTTGAGTTGCCGTCCTTTCAGGGACCTTTAAATTAAACGATAAGTTTGTTCTAATTTTCTTTATTTTACTTACGAAATATTGCGTTATAATTTGTAAAGATGGTATGAGCGTAAGGACTGACTTCTCCAGACGGAATATGCTGGCAGACTTTACTAAATGAAATAAGCTGCTTAATATCTACTAAAAATGCGGTTAAAAGACTGGCTTATTCAGTTGAAGATACCTACTACTGAGACCTAACATATAGTTACACATTCATACACATTACACTTACTCATTCACCTACGAGTGTTGTAAACAATTAAAAACAATTTGGTAATGGAACATACTATTATGTTTGTTATGTAAGAGTTAACACTGGTACTTTTTTTTTAAAATTGTACATTATAATGAATTGTTTTTTTAAAACAGTGGGCAAACGGGCAGGAGGCCCACCTGATTTTAAGTGATACCACCGCCCATGGACACTCTCAATGACGGAGGGCTCGCGAGTGCGTTACCGGCCTTTTAAGAACCGATATGCTCTTTTTTGAAGGTCCCTAAGTCTAATTGGTTCGGAAATACTTCAGAGGGCAGCTGGTTCCACATAGGTGGTGCGCGGCAAAAACTGACTTAAAAAACGCTCAGTCGTGGAACGACGGACGTCGAGGGGTGGAATTTCGTATTCGACGTCCGATGATGAAACTCAGCTACAGGTATAAGTACAATTCTATTTATTTTAAACATAGAAATGCCCGTGTTATGAGTTTAACAATGATATAAAATCCCACTTAATCAAGTTTTTAAAATTAAACAGTACTACGTTACAATGTTTTTTATCGTTCGTAATTACTTCTCATTACTCGTAAAAAGTAGGGTGGTTTTACGGTTAAATTAAATTTAACTGCGACAACGGTTAACTTTTATTTCGACATTATGATTGCATGATTTACAGATAGAAGACATTGTAGTTAAGTATATTTATATTTTTAATTCGGTTATCAGTTTAACTGTATATATATTTTTGGAACTTGTTAATTTGTAAGCATTTTTTGTTTCTTAACCTCCCGCGGCACGACTGCCTCGTGGTGGAGGGTTATGTGGGACTCGCTGCCGTGCATACCCACTAAAACCCCACGGCCCCACCAGCAAACGCCCGCATCCCGCCACACGAGTATGATGAAGAAACGAATCTTAAGTGTAGAAATGTTTGCGTGTAATTTCTCGAAGACTCCAATTAAAAATAAATTGGGACTTTTCCAAGTCCAAGGTTCAAATCAAAATCGGTTTAGTTTTTGAGATTTTCACGGATTTCTTTAGACTATTATCATAGGCACGTTGGTAAATAAATTGTTTCGTTATTTTTTCCTTTTTAGTTAACTTTATTTAAAAGTTTAATTTAAAAAATTACTTTATTGCTTATATTTGCACATCGCTAACATACAAAACTAACATTACAATGTTTACTACGCAAATTCAAACAATGTTCATGGGTTCACTCAAATTACAATGAGTTATTTAATTTAACCGCTCTAACTCAAAACCAATCTTAAATGGTATGGTATATGGTTGGTGCGTAAGTCCTGGCTAGCTAAGCCAGCCTAGCTCCTTCCAGAAGCACAGAAGACTCCTGGGTACTTCGCAGGCTTCACGGAGTGACCTCACTGCTTCCAGGACTACGTGTTTGACTGATTGTCGTGCCTAGGACAAAGAGATGTTTATTAAGGCGACAGTGGCCCGAAATTGTCCCTATAATTGTTTTGAGAATAGTTCTGTTGAAGCTTGATGTCGTTTTATCTGTTAGATACTTTTAAAATAAGTAAGAAAATCTCTTAACTTTATCGCTACGATCAAAAAGAACATAATATGAATAGGTTGTCTGCACTCTGTCACCACAGACGTCCCGCAAGCTCGGCCTCTGAAACCTTGTATTAAGTGCTCCATACTTCACTTAGGAATAAATTACTTCAACATTTTATAATATCGTGTAAAAAGAACGACGCTTTTGTAGATATTATTAAAAAGGAAACTATAAAGTTAACTTTTAGTTCCTCATAAATTATGCAGACGTATATGCTGTTCTTTATACAGAGCAGACTGTGTTTGCATACTCCAATCAAACTCGAATAATAATGATGATAGACAATTGTCAAAGTCTAATATGACTTACAGTATTTTCTTTATAGATATTGACGAAGGAGTATTTATTGCGTTAAAGTTCGATTTATTATTTTTTTATTGATATTAAATAAGTGCTAAAGCACTTTTGAGTCTGTTGACTTTCAAGTATATGTCCAACAGAATTTGGCCAAATATTTTTCACCACAGTATCTTATTAACTTTTTTGTACTTTATCTGACAGACACTGCAGTTATAGATAATAATACAATAACGCATAATTTAAGAACAAAGTGAAATTTAAAAAATAATTGCAAACTGTAATTTATGTGTGGTTAGCAGCGTCTTTCGATGATCTTATAGTACGGGAGCTAGCAACGTTTGAAAAGTATTTCAGTATGATGCTAGTAGTTCAAGAGAGACAATTGCAGAATCAGTCTAGCATTATACTGCCAAAATTAAAAGTTACGCTTCTTAAAATGCTTTTAAAAGTCAGGATTATTACCTGGACAGGTAGGATGCGCACTAATAAACGCAACCGCAACCGCCAGCCTGATAGCCCAGACTCTAACCGAAAATGCAAGAAGGAAGACATAACACAAAATCAGCTGACCTGAAATTCTTTCTCGAAAACATTGCTACCTCCCGTACAATTAATTAACTGTATATTTTTTCTCATCCTTTTTCCTGTCACTTCGCACAACAAATGTTAATGTACGACAAACCGTGTCAAGTTGAAGTTGTCAACACTATTCATACAAGATTTATTATAATATTTAAGAATTATTGTTTTCGTAAATTACATAAAAAAATTATTATTCAACACAAATGTAACAAACATTTTAATGGACGACGAGGAAAAATCTCAACCAGAACGCATCGGAAGTAATCAAGAAGAATGTACTAAAAATATATTAGAGAAACCTATATCACCTGAACAAAATGACGCTGGCCCTTCGAGAATTTTTGCTTTACCGGGATCAGTATCCCCACCTCACAACTCAAAACTTCATCTCAATAACTCAGGCAGATCGAAGTCCGAACACAGCATTCGGAACATAACTCCCGAAGACTTAACCAACGCACTCAAACTAACTTCCCTAAGCTCCGAGCCGAAAAATCCACTTCAAAACATAAATTTTAGGGAACTACACATTCCTATTCTAGATAAAATAGAGAAAGACGACAATTCAGCCACGCTTATCGAACTAAAGAAATTTATGGCGTCTTGTTTTAAACATAAAGTTAGTCAAGATAGATTGAACCAAAGCGTTGCAGTAACGAATGATGTTGTTCTGAACATTCCAAATGCAACTTGCACAACTAAAGTTCCAAACGAAGTTACAGTGGATCCGAAGCAATCTAAGGAAAGAAAGAAGTCTGGTTCTGATAAACCTGAGTTTGTAACTCAAAGGGACTCTCTTTCGAGTATTGGCTCAAATGTTTGTAGAATTTGCATGACAAGAGGACGTGAGAGGTTAGAAAGTTAGACAATAAAGTTCAATACAAATTGTATCGGAAGGGTCTGAAACTTCGCAAAGATCGCTTTGCCTAATTTTGATGTATTCATCCGTTGAGGATTTGTTTGGTGTTTGCATAAACTTTGCGGCTTGGAGCTTAATTTAATAATAGGCTTTGTATAAACATTGTTTTAATAGTCGATTTAGTAAATTTGAAAAGGATTAAAATATAAAAACAGTTGCGTAATTCGTCATGCGATATGGGATTTAAGCCCGAAACTGCATTTAAATTAGTATTTAAGCGAGCAACCTAAAAAACTCACTTTTCCGTCTATGTTAAGAGGAATTATAATAATTTAAATATCCAAAGCTTACCAAAAATATGTAATAATTATTATCTTTAAATAGATTGTTAAGATGTTTATTCAATCTAATATAATTATGAAAATTTCATTCAAAGCATTCTAGACAACTCATTGGTCACTAGACCAATGTTTCGACCAATTCGCAGTCAGGGGTAATTACCCCTGACTGCGAATTCATGGGTCCCGGGTTCGATCCCCGGCTGAGACAAACATCGATGTGATGAGCATTTGGTGTTGTGCTTAGGTCTTGGGTGTTTAAATATGTATTTATATGTCTATCTATCTATAATATGTATGTATATCCGTTGCCTAGTACCCATAACACAAGCTTCACCAGCTTAGCATGGGACTAGGTCAATTGGTGTGAATTGTCCAATCATATTATAATTAAAAAATAGCAGATCAGTAGTATTGTAGAAAAATGCCCCATACTACAAAACGCTCTTTTGTTGAATCGTTAAAAAAGTAGGTCACTAAACCGTTCGTTGTTTTCAGGTTAATATCTCCGTGCAATTGCAAGGGCTCTTTAGCAAATGTGCACTTATCTTGCCTGGAGAGGTGGCTCAATCAAGTTGGAAGGAATCATTGCGAACTCTGCGGATTCAGGTATTACAATGATTTCATTTCAAAAGAGCTGAGGTGGTTTGGTTCTGTGACTACTTTTAATTGAGAACTATCGTCTGTATTCTGCCTTGCGATTCGATTTAAAATATTTGTTACGAGTTATAGATTTGTCTATGGTATGTATATGACATAAATTTTTATGTCAGTGACATCAGTTTTTTACCTAGACCAGCCTTGCGATTCTGTAACTCACTTTTCGAACTCTCACAGCGGTTTTCGCAGCGCGGCGGTCGCACTCAAATCAGTCGTGAAGCAGACATTTTACGATTTGGCATTCTGATAAACAATAAACTACAACCTCCCTCCTTGTCATATACGCTTTATACCAATAGACAAATCTATAACTCGTAACAAATATTTTAAATACAGAACGTGCGCGTTAATAAACTTTCATATATTATGTATATTAAATGTAATGTGAACAATTATCTACATTTTGTTTGTTCAAATTGATAAGAATATACTGAAGTATTGTTAAAACTATTTTTGTGTAATGATGTGCTTGTTATCTGGGGTATATACAATATAACTACGTAGCCTTTTACAGTATAATCTGTATCTTTTTGCTGATCCTAATTTAAAAGTTTGGAAAATACTTTAATAAGAAACCATTAGAGCAATAAATCATTTCACATTCTTAGAATGATACAAAGAAATAGCGCTGTAATGAAACAAAGAAACTTAAAAGAATTTTAGTTAAAAATCGAATTGGAGCTCAATGGATCGGATATCTGGAGCTAGATAAATCACAATCACTAATTACGTACAATCGAGTGGATTAAGAGTACCGTGCATTGTGCACGTACGAGTATCCGAACGTTGGCGGGAATTTTTTCACTTTACTCTATTTTGATCTATGCCCTTTATTGAATTGTCAAGAATACATTCGAAATTGGAATTGTGACAATGGCTGGTGAAAACTTTTTATTTATATTTTGGAATCGCATGCATAATTCTATTAAAAATATGTTCTAGTGCTTTAAATAAAAAATATTTTTTTGACCGTCCGTTCGCGCTAATTTCCAAAAATAACAAACGATTACTGACGATGATTTATCGCGATACTTTCTCATAGAAAAAGTTGAAAATGATGTCGCACTTACATTGAATAGCGATCGTTGAATTTATGCAAAATATTTTTCAATAATTTATAGAATAATTTGTGTGTGAAATAAAAAGGCTACAATAAAAATGAATTGGCTGCATTTTTATATATCTACTATAATTCCATTTGACTATTTCAGTTATCCGGCGATACGCACACCTCGTTACACAGTGTTGCAAGCGCTTCGACTATGGTTCGGCAATCCGCGAAATAGGAGCCATTTACAGGTGACTCATTTTGATCGCATATTGTGACTATGGTTTTGCATGTTTTATGAATTTTCAGCATTTGCAATAACAATAGCAAAATTGTACTTTATTGAGTTCTAATTGGAAAGTTATTGACGTGATAACGTCCTATAAGTCGATGAACGTCGGCGTCATTCTCACGTTCCGCCTGAGCCGAGCGCAACATGACTCATTGTCATTGCACTCTCGCTTGCACGGTCGGCTCAGGCGGAACGTGACGCACGATAGAGAGGCACGATCGGCATAAGTGTTTGGCTTGTAATTTATTTTTTTATGCATTTATGTTAAGTTGTTGATAGCACATTGTTACTTGTAATTAATCTGTATAATTTAAGTAAAAAAAAGGGTGCGTGTACTTATGTAGGCGCGTAAGAAGTTATACTTCTTTGGCATTATTAAAAATAGTTTTTGATTGCATGCAAATAATTAATTACAATTAAATAATCAAAGACTGGAAAAGGAGTCATTATAGTCAATTAAGTTCAGTTTACATTTGAAAAATTAAATAAATAATTATTATTTATTATTATTCTCTTACATTAAGTGTAACATAAATTCTATGTAGTTAAAAGTATATATAATTATATATTTAGAACATCTCTACCAAACACTAAGAAGTATGTTGTAGCTTTGGCAGTATTGCACAATATAAAATTAATAAATTTCTTTGAAAAAATAATCAAAACTCCTTTATTTGTTTAAAAGGTAAATGACAAATGTCATTATGGTCATTCAAAATTCTTGGCATACGAACTTCACGCATATTCTATTTCTTTTTACTTGTAGATTGTCTTATTCCTATCTCGCTCGCGCACGCTATAATCACACTCCCAATTTTTGTGTCATAGGTGCGCGCGCATCGTAAAATTTCACTCTCATAAATTTTTCATAACGCGCCTAAAGAAGTATAACTTCAAAAATATTTGAATTAACGAGTGCAAATATATGTTAATTTATCGAAAAATAATAATTTTCAATAACTCCTTTTTTGTACTATACAAAATAATTATAATAATTCGATTCAATTATAAAAGTATGCAAGTATTCATCAATGACGACTATGACGTTATCACGTAAAACTATCGTCCATAAACCGACAATAACGTTCAATAACGTTGTTTTGCTTAAATAAACACTAATAATTAAATGTTTTAAGATAATATAAAGTTAATAGCTCTGGTCGCACGACGCACGCGTCCACGGACTCGGCCTTGAACCGAATTATTTTAGTTCAAGGTCAAACTAAAGCAATGTTAAATGTTCGGGGAGTATTTAGTCTCCTTTGAGTTTCCGGGAGCGTTATTATACCATGTAAAATGCCAGTTTGAATTCTGTAGAGTGCGTTCAACAGTGTGCGGAAATGCCCTCTCAATACTCAAAATTCTTGTGGTTTGGTTGTGGAATTGGCCTGTATTAAATATTTGCCTCAATTTGACCAAAAAGTGGAAAAATGAGTCTAATTCTAGAATACGGGCGTTGCCATAAAAGTTCTTTAATATATATAGTGCGAATTTGTTACACTGCATGAAGTAGTTACGATGAAAATCAATCCTAGCGTCATACGTAATAAAACAGACATAAATGTGTCCGCCCGACATTGGAAAATAACGAGATGTCATACGACAAAATATTAATTAAAAATATCAAAATAATGGTCACCGTAACACCCGGTCCATTTCCCATCGCGTACCATTTGCGATCGGCGGACCGAAGGTGATTCGTCTTCACATTTTTGCCCGCACGCCAATTTTATTTCTTTTTTTTGTAACAATTTTTTCTGAACGATTCCAATCGGCCGACGGCTTTTAAAAGGCCATTTGTGTCGGTACAGTTTGTTTATAGCTCGCCCCTTGTCACTTTAAATATATCGTCTTACTTACTTGAGTTTGTAAATCAAATTTTATAGTATTGCCATACGCAATTCAATTGCTGAGTCTCTGTATGTATGGAATCCCATATCCCTCAGATGGGACACCTGGCAGACATATTTTTGCTTTATTTCCAATATACTTGGTACACGTCGTAGATTCTGTAGTAATATTTAAAAAAAACAAAAATTTTGTTATCTATATACAGTCTAGCCATAAATTGTTACATTAAAAAACAGCTACATTAGATTTGAATTAGGAATCTGTTTGTATAGCTTAGACTAGATAAAACGTTTTAAATAAATTTTGTTTTCTCATTATAGCGCGAATTGGATTTAATATATTTATTACAAGTATATTTTATTTTAAAGAAATACATAAGCACTTGTTTTAGTTAAGAGTTTGTGTTAGGCGAGCTTGTACATGTAATAATTGAATTGTCATTAACAGTTTTGTGTGTACGACTAATAAAATTCATGAATAGTAAAACTTTATAGCATATATTATACTATATATAACTATGAAATAAATCCCTCAAGAAGAAGTAATCGTTATTGCGCTCTTCATGTCACAAGGACTTTGCCTCTACGCGCGTCAATGCTTCTTTGAATTCATGACAGCCTAGTACTTTTACTTGACGTTGCGGTTAATTCAAGGTAAAAAAAACGTCACGGACACTACTAATCCTCAAAATTAATTATTTAAATAGGATTATCAGGCAACACCCACACAATTTTTTTTTTGTTTAAGCAGACAATCAATTCCATCATATTGTGTTAGTTGTTATTGTCCAAAATATAATATTAGGTTAGCATTAATCTCAACCATAAAAATTTAATTTAATTATTTATTTACGCAACAAAACCACACACATTTCTTTTTACCATGTAGGCACGTGCAGTCCCTTACAATCTCCCATGTAAGAGCAATCCGGCCTTCCCTCTATTACCGCCAGCATGCTGTTAGGGTTCCCCCGCACTCGCATCAACAGAGATACAAACAAAGGGTCAAAAAACACACATCATCGATTTTAAAGTCAAGACATGCCGGTTTCGTCATGATGTTTAGGTACCTTAACCGCACGAGGAAGTGCAGTGAGAAGTGAGTTAAATGCGCATACAGAAACAAATATCCATTCGTAGTCTTCTTAAGTTACATAGTAGAGTTTGAACACACAAATTCAGGATTAATAGTCCTACGCCAACAGCACTATGTCCTATGTTGACGAAGAAATAAAATATTTAAACTAAAACATACTAGTCGATATTAGTTTAATTTTTCAATTTAAAAAACATTAAAGAAAATCACAATCTTCTTTATTGTCCAAATTGCACATATAAAATGTCAGTGGAAATAGTAAATTAGGAGGTGAGGTGAAATTGGCTGTAGTAACATATCCATTTGTATGTAAATTTTGTAAGTGAAACCCGCCTTTGACGATACAAGGAGCTAATAAGCCGAGAACACCTGTCCTATACAATAATAGTACGTTAGGTAATAGGCTGGCCCGGATAGATGTTTTTTTTTATATGTAGTCTTATCTGTGGATTGACAATTTCATAAAGTATACATCAATATAATAATTTCTGTTTTTGAAGGTTCGAACCCACATACATTTTGTATAGTGTATCTACGCCTATTTCATTCGACCTATGCATGGTCATACTTCTGTTCTTATGTTTTCTATTTTACATGAACCTATAATAAGGTATAATCGCGTGAACCGTTTGCGATTCCGGCCTTTTGTGAATAATCACGCTGTACGCCATATCGTAATCTTGAAGGATTTTAATTAAAAATAATTTTGAAACAGGAAGCAATAGCGAGGAAGTTTAACAACTCCGTAAAATATTCATTAATCGCTCTCATTAATAAGTTAAAACATTTTTATTAACTTACTGGTACCTAATTAATATTATATAATAGTAATAGCAGACCGGCCAAGCGTTGCTGTGGCTAAGGTTTTTGTTATATTACATAGTAGCAAACTATTCAAGGGAAACGGTAGGAGAACACCAGTCATGGGGACCACCATGCTTTTTTGGTGGTTATGCCATTAAATTGTAGCTTATGTGAAACGTTGGTACTTTCAACACAGCGCCATCTGTTAGAATTGTGACTATCAAATAATAAACAAATATTTTGCAATAAAATAATATTGCGGGGATAAATTGAGATGTAAGCTATCCTATCTTTTAAGTTGGATCAAACTACACACGGTGTGCAAATTTGATTGATATCGGTTCGGTGGTTTAGGAGTCCATAGCGGACAAACAACGTGACACGTAATTTATATATATTAAGATAAGATATATCAATATTATAATATGTACTAAGCACTTTCAGGAGTGTGGCAGTTGTAATGTAGGTCTCTATGCTTACATAGACAACATCTAAAATATCTTTGACAACATCACTTAGTACAAGACTGTTGGTATAGACATGTACAAATGCTATTTTTATATACTCGTAATATACAACGTTACCAGTAAGGAGTTAGAATAAGCTACTTGACAGGATAATAAAGTTTTGTTGAGAGTAATTTGTATAAAACATGAATTTAAATAATAATGCCCATTATTGAGTAAAATAACTTGTGAGTACTTAATCATATTTTATTAAATTAAATTATTATGGAAATTACGATTTTTTTCGAAACGGTCACAAATAAGTCAAATCGTAAATAATATGTCCTCGTCTATCTAATCCTAATACTATTTTAGACTTTAATCGTGTTGGAGGCTCTTTTAAATCAAAACATAATATGTGTAAAAAACTTGACGTTTGTTTACGTGTTTACATGACTTGTGCAACGCCATCTTGGCTATGGAAGCATTTTGGCGGCTTCTCTGAATTATACATATTTAATATGAATTATTCAATAGAATTAAATAATACTTGTTTGTTCGATTTCTATAGATAAATAATTGCATTAAAAATTGTCTAATAACCCCCAAATATTTGTATAGGTAATAGCTGTGTAAATTTGCAAAACTATATTTTTAAAAAACACTTTCCTGCTTTGTGACAAGATGGCGCCTTAACAAAAACCATAATTTATCGTGATTGACAGCTTCTAGGCGGGCACATATTGGATCTCCTTCATGTCTCATTCAATTACCTCCTTTCCCGTTCACGTCCTGTCTATAACGAAATTATCGACGTATTTTATGTCATTCTAATTTGTCTTATAAACCTCTTTACTTAAAGAAAGAATCTATATCTCATAAGCTTCCATACCCTATAAATGTAGATACCTATTTCGTTTTCGAGAATTGATAAGCTTTAAATGGAATTTAAAAGAAGAAAAATCTTGTATTCTACGAAATATTATAGAAGATGCCAGTATTACGAAAATGAATTTTATGTCCTCACTAACGAATGAAAATTTATACACAAAGAATATTCTTAAGTATTAGCCCCAAAATAAGTTTATTAAAACAGTGATCTGTATATTATCATAGATTAAATACATTTATTTTAATTAAATGAATTTACTTATATATGACTTTAAATATAAACGTATTTGGTGACATTTTTCCTCGGATAATAGACAAGGGTGTTAATAAAAGGATTGCTCTTAAGATTCCCGATAACCTTTTTCACCGACAGCGTTAAAATCGCAAGCAATTTCTATAGTTTTGTTGATAAAAATGTACGTGATCGGTCGAACGGTGAATCGGATCGCGTGTCTATGATTGGACAAGAGAGGCTGTCGACCAAATAATGGTTTTGTCTTTAGTTACAATCTCTTTTGGTCTCCAGCAAGATATTGGTAATTTATTATACAGATGTAATACAACCTTTTTAATGTTATTGTTTAGTTAAGAGCTCATGTTCTCTTTTTGTTTTAATAAATTTTTAGCGCAACTTTGAAAATGGTTTCATGTTTGTAATATAAATGTTACATATACCTACTATATATAAATATACTATAAATATTCTTTTACACAGTATCTTTATAAAGAAGTGTGTGGGAATTATATAAACTCAGTCTTGGCCACGTGATCCTTCTTTTTAAAATAAATTAGTGTTAGCTGGTCACTATTGTTTGCACCATGAGCCGCAATTGTTTTAATTTTTCTTTTGGTTTTCAGTCGGACTGTCTCATATTCTGGCTCCTGTCAACTGTCACCGCCGGTCTACTTGCCGTGTGCATCGTGGGCACACAGTATTTTGTTATAGAGGGCAACAAATTTGGTAAGCTCGATGCGGCTAGAAAAGATGAAGGTGTGTTGCTGAATTTTATTTATTTTTTTTACATAAAATCGTTCCATCGAAAAAACTAAAAAAAAAAAAATTTCGGCGTCTATGGTTAACTTTTTATAGAATTTAACTTTCGAATAGTTCATAATTCATAATGGTATCATTTATTTGACTGTAAATAATTTTTCGCCAAAACTGTAGATATGTGATCTTTTAAAAACTTACAATATCACGTCCCCGAACTTTGAAAACTGTTAATGCTATTATTATAAACTTTTAAGAGGGTGTAGCATGTCTAGGCGACACTTTAACAAAGAAGTTTGTATGATGTTTCACTATATATGGTTATATTTTGCAATATAAGATCAATGTATAATTTCGCCTCGTTTAAACTTAGCAAACCACTTCTCAACGCTTGATTTTCCTAGTGCAGAGTCCAAATAATGTTTATCAAGCCAAGTCTTGGCTTAAATAGTATTTCTTTTCGCCAAAAGTAATGCTTTATAAACAACAAATTCCTTTTTATCCATTTTTTTAAATAAGTTCCTTCACTAAAAATTCTACATCTCACGAACTAATAGTATGACATAATATTAAGTCAAATTAATACACGTTTGAAGTAGGGCTAGGCTAGTTAGGGCTAACTTAACATAATATGAATTTAATACTAGTAGCGCCATCTATAATATGTCAGCCTACGAACTTTTCAGCCTACCTGATACTAACATAATAAAATATATAGATTTAACTCGTCAGTAACGTAGACACAAAAATAAAAACAAATATAAGGTTGCACAGTGATTTTATAATAAAGTCGCTTTCCGTCTATTGGTACGTCTAGGTGTTTTAAACTACGCAAATATTATAACACAATCATTAAATTGATTTAAAAGTATTATATGTTAAATAATAATCCCTATATTTTTGAACTACGGTTCATGTTTCGACGTAACGCGGGAAATAGCTAATAGAAACTTTTACTTTTGACAGATAATCTTAATATATATAAATTACGCGTCACGTTGTTTGTCGGCTATGTTCTCCTAAACTACTAAACCGATATCAATCAAATTTGCACACCATGTGCAGTTTGATCTAACTTAAAAGATAGGATGGCTTACGTATATATATATATATATATATGATTCTACTGCACGTGTATATGGCACTGAACTCCTCTTAAACGGCTGGACCGATTTGAATGATTTTTTTTGTATGCGTTTGGGTGGAGTTCTGGATGGTTTAGATTCACAAATTAGCCCGGCAGGTGGCGCTGCAGAAAGTACTCTCATACTTTGTTTAATATCCTAATCGCTTGAAATATCATGCAGGACAACGTCTGTCGGGTCCGCTAATAGATTATAAATTATTAATCAACGTTATTTACATTTCCGTAGTCAGAACTCCAGTCATAAAAGCTTTTTTTAAATGCATCTTTTCTATTCTATTACGGTAATTCTTTTTAGAAGCTATCGTATAAGTTTATACAATAATAAAGCTCATAATGTACAAAACGGACAGACTAAACGTATTAAGTAGACCGTCTGCGTTTTATTACAGGTATACCACATCGGATAACAGAAACAGCCATGGACTTCTTTATGGCTATTGTGCTCTGTGGATACTCTGTGACCGTCTATTTGCTATGGAAAGATCATTACGTCATGTGGAACCGATGGAGACGCGCAAATGTCAATGTCAGGTTGTTGCTGTCACCTGACGCTAACCCTGTCCCGTTTGTACCCAGGCCTAGGTATAATATTGTTTAAAATTTTATTCTGAATAAAGATTTTTATTGTATGCAGTATGCTTTATCAATTACGGTCAGTGGCACTAACTTACAAAAATCCCTATTACCTATATCTCAAAGAAGGCACCTAAACTAACGAATTACAGGAACCATTAAAAAAACATAAAATTGGTAACGCATTGGCTTCCTCATTTCATTAGGATGCTAGAATAAAAAACAGCGGCGCTAGAACTTTTGAGGTCTGGGCCTCAGATTTATGTATCTTTTTCGGTTATTTTATCTAATAAGCAAGTAATTGACCAGCATTCTGTGCCTCACACACTGTTTCTTTTTGGGTGATGCCGGTTTCCTCCCGATGTTTTCCTTTACCCTACAAGCAAGCCGTCAACATCAGCCGCCGGGGATTGAACCTACGACCTCAGGAATGAGAGTCTTGGTCATAGGTCTTTTTAGGACTCTTTCGTCAAACAACATCATTCGTAAAATTATTTAACTATTTGCTGTTATTCGCTGAATGTTTTTCTCTGGAAATAAAGCGCCCGACCTCTTAATTGACATTTAAAGTGCGGGTCCATCGCGTTTCGAGTCCGTTTAACAACTGAGCTACAAAGATGGATAAAAAATATATTAGGTACTCTGCTTGCTCAATAAAGACCGTAGATAAAGACGAAAACATTTAACAATAACGCAGAAAGCACATCAAAGCGTAAAGCTGGCCATTTTCATAAAAATAGTTTTATTTTTATTGTTACTTCATACTTGGAACGTGAAAAGTAATTTTTGCAAAAAGTTTTCACAGTTTACACATTGTTAACACGCAGCCGTCATTGCAATGATTCTCACCTTTTGTTGGCTGAATGCCAGAACATTTTGATAATAAAATAAACTTTGACTTTCAATAATTGTCTCTGATTTGCTAATTACCAGAACATAAACAACAGATAATATTTTATGAGATTATGTAATAAAACTACTTGTAAACAATTTGTTATCAACTACATAATGTAAACAATCTTAGTTCATATTATATGTATTTAATATTTAAAAACTTCCTACCATTTAAACAGGAATAAGTTAACAATTATTACTATACGTGAAAATTAATTACGTTTCAATATTTCCTGTTATTTATATAAAACAATTTAAACTTTTAACACTTAAGACAACCCTTTATAACTCCCGTTGTAAGTCTTCTTGAATATATAATCGGATAATATCACGGAAACTTGTATCTACCATAAATCCCAACTTCAAACTGCGAGTATTATTAAAGTTAACGGGCAGGCTACTAACTATACTTGAAATGAAATCATCACGTTCAAAACGCACCAACGCCGCTATCTCCTCCCCTGCGACCTCACGTAAACTCTGTATCATAGTACGTACAGATACGCATATACCAGGTAGATTAATCACCCTCCAAGGGCCTAAGACATGGGCCGGAACAGTTGCCGCATGAATTATGTTTCGCACGACAGTACTCGGACTGGAGAGCCATAATTCTAAATCTTCACTCACGGGGCATATTGCTTCTTCACCATTCAGTGGTTCACGAATGATTCCGCTAGCAAATGACGTGACTGCTCTATTTGCTTTACCAGATCGAACGCTGACTGTAGGCAGCCTTACTATTCTAGTATCTGCAAAACCTTTCCTTCCATAATCGTTTAGAAGCAACTCACACATGGCTTTCGCTGTTCCGTATGTGTTTTGAGGTTGAGTAGCCGTCCCATCTTCAACAACAGCTGGTAGTTCTCCTCCGAAAACTCCACAAGTGCTTGTAAATACAAAACATAGCGATGTAAGCTTACGGGCCCTTTCTAGAAGAGCGCGAGTGGCATCAAAATTCACTTGGAGTCCATAATCAAAATCTAATTCAGCATGGCCACTTACAACAGCAGCTAGATGAAATACTATGTTTGTACCAACTGGAATTACTTTTTCGGCAGCGTCTGATGATGTAAGGTCAATAACAATGTTGGATACTCTTTGATCGTCTCGTATTCTGGGCTTAACGCCGTCTGCTAGAAGCAACTTTGCTGTTAGTATTGGAGAATCTTTTGAAAGTAGCACATCAGCTATGCGAGATCCCAGAAATCCTGCAGCACCAGTTACGACTACGTTCATCGTGAAAAAACTTTATACTGATTATCTTAAAATAATTATTTCATGTCATACGTATTATTATTAAGATACACCTTATGTAAATATTGATAAGAGAATAAGTATGTTACTACGAGTCTGTCTGTTTTATTTTGGGAATATAATATTTTTAATTCAACAATACGACACGACAAACGAGGAAGAAGCAGAAAAAGGGTATGTACAGATATTAATAAGGATTTTTATCAGTTTTTATTTTAAAAATATTAAAAACCTAAAGCTTTTTATTTCCGTTGATTTTTACCAATATGCCAAATATTATATCAACCTAATACGTCCAGCACTAACAGCAAGCACACTAATATGCAAATATAAAGAACGTTTTACGTACAGGTTGTACGTAAGAGTAGATGAGTCAAATCTTTTTTGTTTCTTTATCTTTTTTCCTTAAAATATTTCATCCCGAGGTCACAAAATCTAATTCTAGATTTATCTTGACTATCCTAAATTGTCAAATGTATACTCTGTGTACAGTATGACAGCAGACAGTGTCGTTTGTCATAAGTCATTCATTCACATTGTCTTTTGTCTAGTTAGCTCCTGCTCGAAAGCTAATCAGAAGACTAGTTTAAACTTCATAATTCAAATAAATTTTGGGTTTTTGATTTTTCGATTCTTAATGTTCTCGATCTGTGGCATAAAATTAATCTAACATCGAGTTCTAAACATATCAAAATAAATATTATTGGTTAAGATACGATTTATTAAGAATGAGTTTTTCATTTGGAGCAGCTACGACTACTTCGGGTACCACTTTCGGTACAACTTCTCCCGCTCAAGGTATTTTTTTCTTAAAATACGTACTAAAATTCACTTTAGCGTTTGATTAGTCATTTGTGCCATACATTTCATTTGATATATTTTTCAACTGTCTATGTGTTTCATAGTAAGATTTTATATTAAAAAAATAACCTTAAATTCCAATGACGGTTTGTTTATTGGCTATATCAATATCAAATTATTGGCTTAAAATTTTTGTTCTTCTGTTCTAGGGTCCTTATTTGGCGGTGGAGATGCATCAAAAGCATTGCAAGGATCTGGGGGTTAGATAAACCCATTATTTTTCATACTTTTATTATTTATTAATATAACCAGTACCCTTCCACTAATTACAACTGAATCAAATTTTGTTCTTAAAAAATAAACTATAATGCTATAATGTACACTTTATTATGAGTAATATTTATATATTACACTAACATATATCTGTTTTTATATAATCATAGTAACAATTTTGTATATTATAAATTTTACTTTTAGATAAACCAAGCTTGTTTGGTGGAGCGGGTACAAGTACACCAGCATTTGGAAGTTTCGCTTTTGGGGCTAAAACAACAACTGCTGCCCCTAATTTGTGTATGTATATTTATTGTTGTGGGTACCAACTTCCTTTCATTCGTCTTTAAATATATTTTTTAAAGTGGGTAATACATCATTTACCTGCTAAATATAGGCAAACTAATCTTGCCTATATAAAGATTAGAAGTATCAGCCAACCAAGTGGAGATATGTGTCCTTTGCCTACCTCTTTGGGTATCAGGTATAACATATATATATATATATAAAAAATATTTATTCCAATAAATAATGAAAATTGTAATTTTCCTTGGTTCTTTTTAACATTTTTTGACATAATTTTCAGTTTCAACACCAACAACAAGTACCCCAACAGCCTTTGGTGGCGGAAAGCCTTTGAATTTCTCTTTTTCATCTCCTCCAAATCAAACTGTTGGCAGTCCTGGGTTTGGATCTCCAGCAAATCAGGTATGTTAAAAGTACGATAATAATGTATAATGAGAATCAGAATTTAAGCATTACATTAAGATGTTTTGTTTGATAATTTAATGGTGTTCTAGATAGAATTTTATTAATTAACAGCAGTATGCAGCATTGACTTTATGCAAAAAAAGGTTACTGCAGTGCTTGTTTCGATTTTTTACAATCAGTGTTCTAGGTATATAAGCTAAATATTTTTTCTATTATTAAAATTATTTAAATGAAGTGTAAATTTTAGCACTCTTCGCAATCATTAGCACTTTAAAATAATTTAAAGTCTTATTATCACTTGCTATTTTTATAGCAAGCTTTTGCTTAGTAGTTCAGTTTGTATGAGAAAATAAAATCGATTTCAGAATGCTGCTCAGAATCTTTCATTCGGTGGCAACACTCAAAATGCTCCGGCATTTGGATCTCCAGCCCCGACTACTCAAGGTTCATACTTTCCTTTTTAGATTTTTATACAACATTGATAATTTCATTGAAAGGACAGAAAAATTACTACATCATTAAAAAAAATATAAATTGTTAATTCACTATGTAATTCATATTAAACTGACTTTCAATAAGCGTTGTATGCTAATGTTTTCTAAATATATTTCAGCATCATCCAGCTTTGGTACTCCAGCAAGCACAGGTTTTGGGTTTGGAAAACCCTCAACGGGTTTTAACTTTACAACACCAGCATCAGGTTTTTCAGCACCTCAAGTAACTGTAAGTTAAATATTGTTATATAAATTTTAATCTGAGTCTTTAATTTGTCGGTATGACAAAAATTATTAAAAAAAATAGTATTTAAATATTATTCTTGATATCAAATGTATGGAAAATATGCTTTTTACTGTTTTACTTTAATTTATATTATTAGATTAACCAAAGCAACAATAAAATTAATGGTCAATTGACTTATTTGAACCATTTTATTGAATCATAACATTTCCTGATAATCCGAGCGTACCATGACATATTGTGTATATTATTTATTTTAAATCTTGTCTTGAGTTATGTAACTTAGCATTAGTAAAGGTACATATTTTAGTAAATAAGTAGAAGCGTAAACCAAATGTTAGCAATCGTCGCACACTTTTCCACACTCATAAATTGTAATACCACATTCTTGTTTACAAAAATGTTCAAAAATGTTGACTGGGTCACTTAGAGTCATGAACCCTTAAATAAGCTAAGTTAGTTTTGTGTTAGTGTTGCAACCCCACTTTCCCTAATTTTATGTTACTTATAAGCACATATTTTAAACGATTAAAGTCAAAATTTAGTCAAAATCTTTCAATCATATTTAAAAAATCGATTTCAGGTAGTTAAAGTAGATAATACTCAGAGTAAACCGCAACGGTCCTATCGAATACTATATTTTGGGTCCATTACTCTTTCTTATTTTATTTTATTACTTTTAAATTCATTTCTTATAATTACTTTTAATCCATATTTCTTTGGTTACTTTTATTTCTAAGTTTATTGCATGTACGGCTATCTTTTATTGTGATTATTTTAAGAATGTTATGTTAATCTAAGGTATTATTCTCATGTAAGTGACATTTTTTGTCTTTTTGAGAAATAAAGTCTTTAAACCTAAGTCAGATGTTACCCAGCTTCAAACAAAGTGCTTCATTTAACATAATATATCTAAACAAATCTACAACAACCGAAGTTAACTCTTGTTAAGTGACTTTTTGCTATCCATGATTTTAAGTCATTGTGTTCCTGGTAATTAAAGTCTGATGGTATTAGCGTTCATGCAACAAAGTCTACAAGTCAGCTAATTTTGTTCTAGACTACAAGTCAGCCCACACAAGGAGCAAGTGCGTTTGGTGGAAAGGGATTCGGTTTTGGTACAACTACGGCCACTACTAGCTCTGCCGCTCCAGGTATGAATACAATATAACATTACAACATAAAGCTGATCCAGATTATTCTTCTGGAACACAAAAATGAAAGAAAAGTTTCCTATTTTATGCTTAATACACTTTTGTAATTACTTTTCACTCTTATTTGCTCGCTTGACTGTGGTACAAGTGACAATCTGTCCCGTTTTTTATTTTTTAGTTTGGGAGCGTTCAATTATGTAACGTAAATGTAAATTTTGGAGGGGGGGTCCTTTTGTAAAACGTTACGATGCGGGGCGGGGATTGAATTATGTATTATTTTTGACTCTCCAGTACTTTAATTATGTATATAAACACACTAGCAGCTTAATAAGCTGATGCACGTGTATTTTGAGATTTGGAGAAACTATCCAATCTATTTTTAAAGGAGTTCAGAGATGGTGCACTGATTACACTTTCCGGAAGCCTGTTCCAGTCGGCCACTACTCGGAAGGGAGAAAGTTCTTTAGGGAATTTGTGTTATGTTGAGTGGTCTTAAGTTTTAAAGAACTACCCCCAAATGTGTATTTTCACTTAAAATAAGGAGCTTCTCAATTCCTGGAACATTATAGTGGCCAGTGAGGATTTTATAGGTTTCAATAAGATTTCCTTTTAATCTCCTACTTCCTAAATCAGTAAGGTCAAGTGCTTTCAGACGCTCATTATGAGATTTTTTTCTGAGTGACCTGGTCATTTTCGTGGCTTTTCTTTGGACCATACTAATATCATTTATAAAATAAGGATCGCAAATGCTGTAAATTGTTATCGTAGATTAAGAAATACGATAACTATAATGTATATATTTTGTATTTCTGATATAACGCTATAAATAAATAACATTAATGTAAGAATAAGAATTTCAAGAGTCATCAAAAATATTGTATTTTACTTATGAAATAGTGAATAGCTCTAAAGATCTTATAAAATCCATTAATATTAATCTTATTTCAGCTCCAGCCTTCGGCACAAATCAGCCAAATGCCCAAAATTTGTCATTCGGTGCCACCACCCAAGCTCAAAACCAAAACCAAAGCTTTGCTTTCGCAACCACTCAAGCTAAACCGGGACCGCCCAGTTTGTTCCCAACCCCACAAACATCGACGTTTGGGGCGAAACCGGGTTTCGGAGGTCAGACACAAGCACCTAGTGGTTTCACGAGTCAACCATCTTTTGCGAGTGCTGGAATGACATTGGGAACTAGTGCCCCGAGTTCAGTTTCTACAATGCCAACGGCCCAACCTAGCACGGCCATTGGATCTGGGTTTAATTTTGGTGGCTCTTTGGGCACAACAACTTCCACAGCATTAGCAGGATTGGGCTCAAATATTGGCTCCAAACCCCAAACAACGGGACTCAATTTGGGAACTCCTTTGGCCACATCATCTGCGGGGTTCAATTTGGGTACATCAACTGGTTTGGGTACCAATGTGTCTACGGGACCTAAGTTGGGAGGTGGACCCAGTCTGGGCACAACTACCACTGGAATGAATTTGGGAACTAGTACCGCGGGGGGATTTAATTTAGGTCCGTCTTTAGGACTCAATACGGCCACAAGCGCGGCCCAAGGTCTCAGTTTGGGCACGAGCGCGGCCCAAGGTCTCAGTTTGGGCACGAGCGCGGCCCAAGGTCTCAGTTTGGGCACGAGCGCGGCCCAAGGTCTCAGTTTAGGCACAAGCGCGGCCCAAGGTCTCAGTTTGGGCACAAGTGCTGCCCCAGGTCTCAGTTTGGGCACAAGTGCGGCCCCAGGCCTCAATTTGGGTACAAGTGTATCTACAGGTCTCAAATTGGGGACTAGCGTGTCTTCGGGACTCAATTTGGGGACTAGTACATCGACGGGGTTGAACTTAGGCACCAGTACCGCGACAGGAGTTGCTTTGGGTACCAGTACATCATCGGGACTCAATTTAGGTACGAGTACCGCTACAGGGATTAATCTTGGCACTACTACGTCTACGGGACTCAGTCTGGGTACAAGTACTGGTTTAGGATTTCCATCATCCAATGCACTAACCCTGGGAAAACCCACTTCAGCGACGGCTGCATCTTCGATAGGTATGTATTTTTTACCTAATAATAAATACTTTAACATCAGAAACTGTAAAAAGTAGGCAGAAGATATAAATAGGTAGGTCTGTATTTTAAACCATAAATCAAATTTAAATCAAAAAATCTAGTTTCAAGCTGCAGTTTCAGCAAGCTGTCAGACTATGTTTTCTATATGATGTTTGACATATTTCACAGGACCTTAGTACTGAGTAGTTTTCTTTTTTATGCAACGGGGCAGGAGGCTCATCTGATGTTAAGTGATACCGCCGCCCATGGACATGGAGTCACTTTGCCAGAGTGCTTGCCGGCTTATATAATTATATAATATTTTTATTAATATAATTAAATTTTATCCTTTTTATTTAAAGTTCGGTTAATTCAAACACATAACTCGATCTGGCGGGACCGATTTTCATGGTATTTTATTTGTTGTATTTGTCTCCGTCCCGAATATATAATTAAACCATTATTACTATTATTATATTGTGAAATTAAAATCCCCAATACAAAATGTTCATTCGTAAGTGTCAAACATTTATTGTTCATCCCGTCGATACGGTAAAATCTCCCCTCAAATCAAAAAGTATTTAAACAAAGGATGTATCCACAATATTCGGACGATGGCGTAAGTAAGATTTTATTTTTAAAATGTAGAATACATATATAATATATATATATATAGGTAATGAAAAAGGATTTGACAAATATATTGGCTGTCAAATGTTAAGCGGTGGGTTCAGATATTGTTATTTAAAAATTAAAAATCAATGGCGCTACAACTTTTTTAGGGTCAGGGCCTCAGATTTCTGTATCTGTTGCATGATCATTTGTTAATATAATAGGCAAGTAGGTGATCAGCCTTCTGTGCCTGACGCACGCCCTCGACATATTTGAGTCTAAGGCAAGCCGGTTTCCTCACGATGTTTTCCTTCACCGTTTGAGCGAATGTTAAATGCGCACATAGAAAGAAAGTCCATTGGTGCACAGCCGGCAATCGGACCTACGACCTCAGGGATGAGAGTCGCACGCTGAAGCCACTAGGCAAACACTACTCTATTATTACTAAGGAAAATATATCAAGAAAATATATACATATATATATATATATATATATATATATACGTTATGTTGTATCAAGTACATTGTATTGTTGAAAATATATCAAGTCGACGGCGTGTATTAGGCACAGAAGGCTGATCACCTACTTGTCTATTAGATTGACAAATTATCATAAAACAAATACAGAAATCTGAGGCCTAGACCAAAAAAGGTTGGTTCTCCACTGATTTATTTTTAAATTATAACACGATATCAATTGACTGTTAGGTACCTTTGACGGTTAAAATACAAGAAATAAAATTTAAACCAGACTACTATTATTTATTAAAATGCCAGTTATTTTAATGTTCATTGATTTTTAATTTCAATCTATACTTATAACCATAGAATCTCCACGGACTGTCAGCGTCTTTGTCATTTTAATCAAATTTTGGATATTTTTTATAAATGGACTATTTATAATTATTTGTTGAAATTTCAGCTTCTTCTACGCCATCTGGGATTATGGCTCTCGGTAAATCCACAGCCAGTACATCGCTTGCAACGGCCACTGCGTAAGTAGTAACCAGCGGTTAAGTTTAACCCACACTTCAAAGATTTTAAATTTGGTATTTTAAGCTTAGTTTAAATTTTATTAATTGCTTAGTCTAGAAATACTGGACGGATTTTAGAATGTTTAAAGTCGATAGAACACTTTCAAAATAATCCGCGACGTTAACATATTAATAATATTCTTATTGTAAACTGCCCCCGCGAACTTCGTTTCTCCTTAATGTGATTTTACTTAGCCTACCTTTTTAGTACATACCAACATGGAACATTTTGCTGAGACTGTTCGGTTTTCTGGAATGAAAACTTAATGTTTTTTTGTGAATGTTTCTCTATATAAACCTCAGAGTTCAAGTCATAAGATTTTAAATAACAAATAAAAAATAGGGGTTGGTCGTAGAGGGATGAAAATTAAGGGTTGTATGTATTTTTGTATGCTGTAAAAATTTTGCGGTGGACCACCCTTAACATTTAGGGGTTTGAAAGATAGATAGTAGCGGATTCTCAGATGTACTGAATATGCATAAAAAAATTCATAAGAATCGGTCGAGCTGTTTTGGAGGAGTATGGGAACGAACATTGTGACATGAGAATTTTATATATTAGATCGTCTTCTAAAATATTGCATTTATTATTATACGCATATAAATTATCCAAAAATTGCAATTACACTGAAGTATTTATTTTTTAATTCATTCGCATTTAACATCATTTCATTGTGAAAATAAATTCACAACAATATAATAGTCACACTTTCGGTATTTAAGAGTAAATCCGAGTTTTGTTTTAAAAGAATTTAGAAAATGTGACGGTGGAACACAATTTCTCAGTCCACCGCATCGTCTATATTCATTACAATACTATTATAAAACTTAACACAAAAATTGACTATTAATACTTCTTAAAATTAAATTAAAAATAGAAAATTCAAACTTATGATTAGGGAGCGTTCAAGTATTACGTCACGCAATTTTTGGAGATTATTGACCCCCCCATGTAACGCACCGTAACGTTTTTCTGTACCCAACAGTAAAACGTTTCGTGACCACCCAGTGAAGGACCCCCCCCAAAATTCGTTACGTAAAAAAGTTATGAATATATAAGTTGTGTGTGAGCCCAAACCTACAAAACATAAATAATAATTATAATAAAAAAATATAATATTTTCAGAACTGTAGCGTCTGCGCCACCCGCAGCCATTTCGTCAATATCATTCGCCCAGCTCGAGGAAAACATCAACAAGTGGACCCTGGAGTTGGAAGAACAGGAGAAGACGTTCATCCACCAAGCCACGCAGGTCAACGCCTGGGATCGCCTGCTAATTGCTAACGGAGAGAAGGTAATGACAAATATTTATCATTTATAACCTTGTAGTTTTATTTTTATGTATAATTATTATTATCTATAGGCTTCCTGTGCTTAATTTGATAGATGTATATAATTTTATTGAAAACTATAAACCATGGAGATGATCTTTCTGGATTTTGATAAATTTAAGGAACAGTCGAAGTTTCATCAGAATGGGCTTAGTAATTTTTAAGATACAGGTATCCATGCCTTTCTGATACAAAACGTTACTAGCATGTATAGTTTATTTACCTTTATAAATAGATAAAGTAAACTGGTAAAGTTAATTTTTCTTAATTAAGAAGATATATTTTTTTATCAAAAGTTAATAGTAATTTTTTTTTAATTTCAGATTGTAGAACTAAACGATGCTGTAGAAACTGTGAAGAATGAACAACAAAGTCTAGAACACGAGTTGGACTTTGTACTGGGGCAGCAGAAGGAGTTAGAAGATCTCTTGGCACCGCTTGAGAAGCAGCTCAAGGAAGATGGAGACCGGATGAGGGATCCTGAGAGAGAGCATATGTAAGGATGTTTTAATACTCTAGGGTTATTCAATGTAGAAAAGTTAATTTGGTTTTTATTTATTATTAATTTCAGTGGAATATAATATAAAATATGTTTCCAGGTACACATTAGCTGAGAATTTGGACAGTCAGCTCCGACAAATGTCTGAAGATCTCAAGGAAGTCATCGAACACCTCAACGAGACCAACAGAAGTCAGGACAGCAATGATCCGGTTAGTTTTGATTCAATTTAAAAAAATTCTATTATTATTTATTTGCTATGCTTTATTGCTTTATTTTTGAAAGGAAAAATAAGTGGATAGTTGTTTTTTTTTTTCAAAAATAAAGATTGTTTTTTGCTATTTTCATTATTTCGAATACTTTTTCTCCTTGTAACAGAATAAATATGACAAAATTTTGTTTGTAGAGCTGTTTCAAAAAATTATAAAAAATCAGTGCCACTACGACCTTTTTAAGGTATGGGCATTGATATACAAAAAACCCAAGATGCACAGTCTCGAATAAAAGTAACGCTCGAAAGTGTCCCGAAACACTATTTCTGTCCATAACAGTATATGTTACAAGCATATATTATTGCAAAATCAACCTTACGCGAATTGCTTAAAGTTGTTATTACAACGCAGTGTATACGTACTTAAAGCAATAAAATTTTACGACCGACCGTGGTCGGTAGGACAAGGTATTGAGTGGAGTCGAACATGACTTTTTTATTTACAACTATTTAACATAATTTTAAATTTATCCGACTTTTCGGGTGCTTTACAGCGTGAGTGGTCACGGTGACTGAAGACAAAAGGTGTTGGATGTTAAATAGTTGTAAATTTATAATAATACATAACATTAATCCGGTTAAAAAGTTTTTTCTTTAAATTAAAAAAAAATGTTAAATTGGCTACCTCCTGACCCACACTTTATATAGCGTAAATATATTTGTCAAAAACTACACACAAAAAAGTTCAAGAGTACATAAATTTATTTATAAAAAAAACACAAATAAATAACATCGACTCCACTTATAGACGCGAGACTATTTGAAATGAGCGCACAATTTAGAATGTTGCGCTCATTTTTTGAGGACGTTTTTTAGACGTTGATTGTGCATCTTGGGTTTTTGTATATCAATGGGTATGGGCCTCAAATTTCTGTATCTGTTTCAATCTGTTGTCAATGTAATTGGCAAGTAGGTCATCAGCCTCCTGTGCCTGACATGCCGTCTTCTTTTTGGGTCTAAGGCAAGCCGGTTAAAATGCGCACATAGAAAGAAAGTCCATTGGTTCACAACCGGGGATCGAACCTACGACCCTTAGGATGAGAGTCATCGCTGAAACCACTATACTCTGATTTTTAATTTCGTAGAATTCTGACAGCTATCATTTTTTGACATGTTAGAGATGGCAAACCTTTTTAACCGGGCACATTTTTCAATTTCAATACGAGTCTGAACATCTGAGTCTATACATACATTTTATTGTTAGTTAATGTACCCATTTTATTAAGTCCGGTGCTCCATATTAAAAGTGGTTTAACGGCGAGTGGTAATTTCGCCTTTTTTCATCACAAACAGTAAAAAACGCACAAGTAAAGATTTTTTTAAAACGTTTACTAAACCTGGAATTAGTAGGCAGTGATGCCAGCTAAAGAATAGAATAAAGTAATTAAAGTTAATTCGATATATTTTTCGTGATATTGAAATAATTGTTATTTTTGTTTTAGGTCACTTGAGTAAGTAAATATTTAGATTTACCATTTTGTAGGTAAAAAAAATACGTAGCATTTTTTTTACTCAAATAAGTCAAATTTCTCCCTTTTCTGTGAAGAACTTTTTTTGTAGCAACTTATGAAATGTCAGAATTCTACGGAATCAAAAATCAGAGTATAGGCACACAGCTCATAAAAATTTAATGTTAATTTAAATTTCAGATCGTTCAAATCGGCCGAATCCTGAACGCACACATGTCGTCGATGCAATGGATTGATGGCTCCATAACGCAGATTTCCACCAAATTGGACCATTTGAAAGTCACCCACGACACTCTTAGACGGGAAAATGAGAAGTCCTTTCAGTTAACATACAGCTAAATCATCGTATTTTGAAAGAAACGATTTGTTTGATTGTGATATGTTTAAATATCAGTACGGAGTTATTGATTTTTCTATGGAAAATGTCAAATATCTCGACTTCCTTCTCACGACTAATTTTTTTTTTAAAAAAATAAGTTTGTGGAGAACACTGTATACTTGATTCCTTTAATATAATAATTTTGCTGTTTTTCCAATTGTTGTAAATATAAAAAATAAAGCGCATGATAAATAATAGTTTTTTTTTACAATATAAGATATGCAATTGTGGTGTTTTTTAATGCTAAACAAAGATTTAATTAATTACCTAGCTAATCAAACCCCAATTAGGAACTCTCATATGTTATAAATAAAAACAATAAGGAATAGGAATTATACAAAGGGTAATCTCCGAACCACCTCACTTTCCTCAAGTTCCTATAGTCCTAAACAGATATATTGTCAGTTATCTATGTCTCTATCTACACTAATTTCTGAAACTAGAATCGATTTTAGCTGTTTAATAAAATCAAAATGAACTTAGCTCGAAGTATCAAGGTGTTTATTAAAGCTTTAGATAATTCTTCGCTTTTAAAAGTTTTGCTTGAAACAGTATCTTTGTGTTATTAAATTCCAATGTCATAAAGGAAAGATATAACTTGAAGTAACAGGATTGCAAGGTTTTGTTTTAAGAAAACAACTCGCTATTTCATTATTTTATTGGTAAAATAACGTTAGCTAGATTCATAATGTAGGGAAGTAAACAAAAGATGGCGTAAGTAACCAAATTTAGGGGTTAATCGTAACTAAAAAATAGGGGTTGATCGTAGAGGGCTGAAAATTAAGGGTTGTATGTATTTTTGTTCATAAAAAATAAAACCAAAAAATTGTGAGCGTCAGAATGGCTAGTCACTAGTCGTGTAGAAGGTTAAAATGTCGTTTAAAAATTACTTCCCAATTGCTTCTATTTAATTCCTACTACAAGACAATTGCTTCCTTAGTATCTTGGGAGAACCACAACAATTTTAGTGACCGTCCATTCTGACGTCAGAATGGCTGGTCACCTATCCTATTGTACTCACTATAATGAATTATCGATTATTTCATAGTTCATATTTTGCTTCCTATTTGCTTCTTCCTATGTTTTCCATCCTCGATGCTGTATCTATCATGGAATTAAAATATCGAACAATGTTATTACAATACCCCCCAGCGCCTGGTAAAAATATACAGGCAAAAAATATTTGGCTAAAATAAGTTTAATTATGGTTTATTTATATAAATATAGGTAGGTAGGTAGTAACAGAACCCCTAACTATATGTACTTTAACGGTAAAAACTTTCACAAAGTAAAGGAATCACTTTTTTTTTATATTGAATACAAGAGAAAATAAAGTTATTTTTCATTTAAAATTATTTGCAACTATTTTTAGGTAGGTATGATGAATCCGAGGTGATCTTAAATGAGGGTAGTTTAATTTTTATTACACTTGTGTGATGAATTCTCATAATTCGATTCTGTTGTATAATAAAATGCTTGCTTCGTTACAACAATTATATTATTCCAATACTTCTTCTTATTGTCGTAGATTGGTTTGTTGGCATCAGCCATTTAATGTCGACATTAGAGTCTACTGTTTAAAGGCTTCTGCTTGGTTCGACCGCTCAATCGAACTGAGAGCCGCACCAGTTCCTGTATTTATAGCAACCAGAATTATAATTATAATTTATTATATTAATACATGAAAGTGATCACATTATGTGCCAGCTCATCCGATCTATGTGTGAAAATAACAATAAAGAGGTTTATAAAATCAGATCATCCATTGCCAAAACTTATTTTAAAAAGGTTCAAAACGGAGATATGCTAGAAGTTGCTTGTGAATGTAATGTGTTAAATAATTAAATATATTTGATTCAACTATGGGGTTCGGCGTGTGACTCTAACATAAGTATCATACAGAGGGTTCAAAATTACATTTTGAAACAAATATCCAACTTTCCGTGGTTTATAAAAACATCGGAGATTCATGAGCACCTCAAAATCAGGACTGTCAAAGAGGAGATCAAGACCTGGAGTATGAAATACAGAAAAAGGCTAGAAATGCATGGTAATAAGCTTGCCACGCAACTAACCATACCGGACCGAATAAATAGGCTTAAAAGGCGACAAATCCTAAGTCTTGATAGACACGGTTAAAAGAGAGGAGCAGTCTCGATGGAGATTTTGCTTTGAACGCCTAACAGCTCTCAACACATCTGCTCGTAGTCTAGCTGACTGATTGCAAGATAAAGACTTATATAAAAATATATATGTATATATATATATATATATATATTTGATGGAATTCTGCTTGAGTGTTCTCTTTACAGTGCAGATGAAAAAGCGTCGTGCACTAATTCAACCTGCCCTATAAATGAATTAGTTAGAAAAGTGTCTGTTTTACGTTTACATGATACACATGTAAACGATATTGAAGAAGCAGCGAATAGACAAATGCTCGATACACCCACCTTTATACCATGCCGTCAAGCAACTTGCGATGGTATCAAATCATTTGAACTGATCTTACGCAACATTATTAGTTTTGAAATATCGGATGAAACTGTTTCTGTTTATGAAGCACCAACAAACCTATTTTTACAGGGTAACGAATATGAATTGATTTCAATAATTGAATTTGTTCCGCCTGCTATTGGTACAATGGGCCACTATAAAGCAAATTGTAGGCGTGAAAATGTATGGCAATGCTACGATGATATGAATACAAGGATAATAAGAAGTCCACACTGTATTGTATATAAAAAAAAAAGGGATAAGATTAAATTAATTAAAAAGACTTAAGAAAAATTAATGAATGAGTATTTACCTATTTCTATTATACCAATTCATTTTATTTTATTTTCTCTTGTATTCAATATAAAAAAAAGTGATTCCTTTACTTTGTGAAAGTTTTTACCGTTAAAGTACATATAGTTAGGGGTTCTGTTACTACCTACCTACCTATATTTATATAAATAAACCATAATTAAACTTATTTTAGCCAAATATTTTTTGCCTGTATATTTTTACCAGGCGCTGGGGGGTATTGTAATAACATTGTTCGATATTTTAATTCCATGATAGGTACAGCATCGAGGATGGAAAACCTAGGAAGAAGCAAATAGGAAGCAAAATATGAACTATGAAATAATCGATAATTCATTATAGTGAGTACAATAGGATAGGTGACCAGCCATTCTGACGTCAGAATGGACGGTCACTAAAATTGTTGTGGTTCTCCCAAGATACTAAGGAAGCAATTGTCTTGTAGTAGGAATTAAATAGAAGCAATTGGGAAGTAATTTTTAAACGACATTTTAACCTTCTACACGACTAGTGACCAGCCATTCTGACGCTCACAAAAAATTGTATCTAAAAAATAAAAATTTAGGGGTTGATTCGTAGAAATCGGTCGAACCGTTTCGAAGGAGTATGGGAACAAGCATAGTGACACGAGAATTTTATATATTACATCTTAATATATATAAATTATATGTCACGTTGTTTGTCCGCTATGGACTCCTAAACTACCGAACTGATATCAATCAAATTTGCGCAACGTGTGTAGTTTGATCCAACTTAAAAGATAGGATAGCTTACATCTCAATTTATACCCGAAATATTATTTTATTGCAAAATATTTGACACAATTCTAACAGATGGGGTTGTGTTGAAAGTACCAATGTTTCACATAAGCTTCAATTTAATGGCATATCCACCAAAAAAGCATGGTGGTCCCCATGACTGTTGTTTTCCTGCCGTTTCCTTTGAATAGTTTACTACTATGTAATATAACAAAAACGTTAGCCACAGCAACACTTGGCCGAGTCTGCTAGTAAATATATATAGAACAGACTAAGTCATATCATGTGTGATGAATAAATAAAACAATAAATTCAACCATTTATTATCATCGGAAATGCATCTATTATCTGAAAGTTCACTTAATACACAATCCCTGTTATAAAACACTGTAACTTCACATTTTCTTCTGTTTGCAAACACAAAATTACTAATTTTTTATGCACAATTGAGCAAATAGTCCTATTGTGTGAAATTTGATCTGCACTTAGAAACATGGAAAACTTTTTTGCATCAACCCTACAATAGCATGTTCTTGATACATCTTCCATTATTTGAGTTTCCGTTTCAGAATCTGAGTGATCAATTGGACCTAAAAAAAATATAAAATTTTCCTTATTTAATGGTACTACCATTGTATGTTGTAGTATGAATATAGCCAATACTAAATGTATGGACTACACTCATTATACTACTATGTGTGTGGAATCATGCTATTAAGGATATTTATTGTTTTGGTTAGACGCAACCCTCATCATGTGTTTTATGCATGACGGAACTGTTGTGAATGTAAAGAGTACAATTATTAGAGAAACATGGGCATATTACTGCTTAAAAATTGTTTATCAGTGTTTAATAAGAATGTTTCCAAATTGACAAAACCAACTTTTAGATGTAGTAACGTGATGCTGTTAAAGTAATTTAACAGTGACACACTTTACCATTTCAATTGAAATAGTAGCTTCAGATAAACCTTTTATTTACTAGAAGAAACTACAATCAGAACCGTTAACGACGACATTTAGAACATACTGGTTTTATTGACCAAAATCAAAGGTCCCAGCTGAATTCTATTGTATTGGGTACTTAATAACAACGTCATCAGCTGTTACGACTATCAGTTTTTACGACCAAATATGAGTAGCCCCTTCGAAATCGTTATAACGAATTTGACAGTATGTAGAATATTATTTCTATTACACAGGTACTTTAATTTGTTTAAATAACCATACAAACCAAAAATTACTGTGCAGTTTACATTGTAATGTTCAAATAATTAAATAAAAAACTTATGAATTAAAGGTTTTCACAAGTGACACAAAATAATAATATGTAAACAGTTATGGTAACATAATAACGCAAAAATCTTACCCTCAAATGCCTCTACTCTCAGATCTTTAAACCTCGTAGACACTTTGGCCAAGTCAGTCTTTATTTGCAAAGTTAATCTGCCTTCTGCAGATGCTCGTATCACAACTTCAGGGCACATACATTTCATGCGGTCTATGGTTGTACGTAGTTGTTTTAATGCTGGTAGCTCTATGGAAATCTGAAATTTGATTTGGTTATTACTTAATAAAACCTGTTTTAATAAGAAACCTATATACTTGACAGCATATTGTTAATATAACATACTTAAATAATAAAAACATATAAACTTACAAAGTAAACTTTTAATCAAATTTAGTTAAATTCCTTAATCTAATCAGTTCCTTGAAGAATCCAATTTTAATTTGTTCAAAAGTCAATGAAGTTATAAGGACAAATATTGTATTGTAACTGATACTTGATATTCATGCTTCTAGTTAGTATATTATGTTAGATTAGAAACCCCTTATTCATAAAACTAAATCAGTCTTATTGGATTATTTTGTTTTTATGCTTTGATGATAAGAGACATACTAGTGATCTTAAGAAACAGTGCAATTAGTCTGTGAAGTGTTTTATTTTTCTTTAATATATGCTTAAACTATTAAATAAAGGAAGAAACATGAAAGCCAATTATTTAAAAGTATTTTTTGTCTTCTGTAAGAATTTAACAAATCAACTTGAGAAACTAAACTGTTTTACTGCATTAAATTACTAAAAGCTAAATTATAAAACATTAAATTACATACATTAGTAGAATACAATGAGTATACATGAAATGATATGTACCTACATCAGGATGAGGCACCCGTGGTTCATGGAACTCAGACCACATTTTCCTTGGGATCACAACCACAGGAATATCATGGGTCACTTGCCTAGACTGTTGTGATGTAGATGATGGCTAAACATTTAATAGTAAAATTAATTTAACACTTTATGTACCATTTAGAAATATTCTTAATATCAATAAATTAAATGTTTTAATTATTGATATTAAGAATATTAATTTATTTTTATTAATTAATTAAATGCTTTAAAAATTAATATTATTGTATGTTTACTAACAACAAATTTTAAAGTATTAGTACTAAAATACAGAGTAAAACATGTGGTTAATTCTAGATTTTTAGCTTTATACTTTTAATGTATTTAATTGGAAGTAAAATTTACCATTTCAATTTCTAGTGTGAGACATGGACACTGCTTTTTAGTTAGTTTCATCTTTAAGCATTTAGCAGTTTTTAATGTTACTAGTGACTTAGATAAATTAGCTGAAACAATTGGACATTATAAAATAACATATTGTTTAGTATAGTAATATAAACAATTATTGATAAATCTGTCTTTATCAAGGGACAAACTTTATAAAGAAAAAACAATTTATTACTAGACATGATGCTTCAATATATTGGTGATATATTTATCTAATTAATTTAAGGAATAATTGGTATTAAGTTTAAATACCTGACACTATACCCAAGTAGATGTCTTTATATTCATCATCTACTCCAACTATTTGATACTCTAAAAAAAAAGTTGATTGAGGCATTTCACACCACAACATCGGTGGAGTTGGACCACTGTTATCTTCACTAACAATCAAATAAAGTTTGTCAGAAGATAATCTAAGGATACATTCTTTGGACAATCTTGATATTGTTGAAACTATATCTGAAAAAAGATAATAAGAAATAACAATCTTTGATGGTAGATTGAGCTATTTGTGACTTTTGATCAAGATAAGCAAGTTATTTTCAAGTAATAGAACATGTTGAGTTCAAAGTATCAACTCACTAGTGAACTCTCGCATAGGTCCTGCGTCTACCATTACGGCTCGGAATTTCATACTTATATTGTTGCCGTTAGAATTTATAGTTAGAAATTAAAATATCACAACTTCTTGATAATATAATAAGGAAAAACTAAAACTAGTTTCCTTTTTAAATTTTCATTTTCGCCGTTCGCGCTAAACATAGATCATCCGTGCACAGATATACGAAATGTACTAAATCCAAATCTTCGTTTCATAAGCATATCATAGATAGTAGTGACAAATATAATGCAATCTTTGGTCTTAAACGGTTGTTTTAACTACCCTTGGTTTTATCAATATTATTTAAACCAAGGATAAATTTTCCCTTGTACGTAATATATTGCTAAGCCTTTTTTTTAGTATTAAATTATTATAAAATGAATAAGGGTATTAATTTTTCAGGCGGGCAATAATATTTCATAGACAATATAGGTGCATTTCCTTTAAACATGGCGCTTCATGGAACGTCAATTCAATGATAAGTTTATTTACGGTATTATATATCTATCTCCCTTTATCGTGTGTTGGACATAGTGTTAGAAAGAGATAATAAATGTCCTCGTTTGATTGTAACGAATATTAACGTACGGTGAAATTTTTTGGAAAAACAAATCACTAGATTTTCGCGTGTAATGAAATTTCAATAAATCAACACTAAATAATTTTTAACAAATAGATAGTTCGCTTAGCCTCATTTGTATATGTGTATTATGGAGGAGGATGCTAAATCTAAGTAAGTAAATGATATAAGGCACGATCGATAACGTCACTTCATAACCACAAAATACGAAATAACTGCATTCTAAGAAGAAATTATCCCATTCACTACGTGTTAAAATTAACTACACACTTTTCTGTTTTTAATTCGTCACAAATAACTGGCTGAATAGCAATATTTTGAACGCTTTTCTCGCATTCTAATAAAATCAAATTGTCGGTTTAACGTCTTTCTTATTCGATCTTTAAAATTTTATATTTAACGGCCCACTATTAATTTCAAATAATTATTTTGTCAACGGATATATAACTGGTTTTCATTGTATTCCCAATTTCGTTACTCTATTTTCTTTAAGTTCATAAGCTATTTATATTGGCTTGCATTAAGGTGAGTTCAATGCCGTCCATGATTATGCAACAGCGAGTTTCAAGTCCTTAGACGCATTTTGTCGAGTATGATAGTGACTCGATATACCTGTGATGTTGATAAAAGAAAGATGTTTATGATTAAACTAGATTGAAAATTAAAATATTAACAGTTATGTCGTAATATCAATGTTTTGATATGACTGGAAGTGCTAGGAAGGTTATTTGAAAAGATCTGATTAACTTCCAGTGAAAATAAATTTATGTATATCAATATATAAGTTTCTTAAAATACCTCGTAATATGTATTGTGAGGCATTACGATTTTCACCAATGCTGCTTTACGTTAAAACATCAATCGCTGATAACTTCGTAATTTCATTTACTAGATTTTATTCAATTGAATCGCATCCCGTCAAAATTGTTTTATTCTGTTATATTTAAAACCAGCTATGTAACTCGCGATTTTAAAATGAAAATGATCGATTATACAAAAATAAGGGAATAGAGGCGATTTGTCACTGTTGTTTTTGTATAAGTACCCAAATAGAACTAAAACTGATTTAGCGATTTAAGCGCGAATGCGTCGTAACATATTTTCGTATTATATGTAATAGCTTACTAGGATTAAATTATTATGGTGTTATATATGGATATACAATTAATTATTAGAAATATTATTTTACAAATCTACAATGGTTTAGGCTTTGATCATCGATAACCAATGATGACTTATGAACCACATGCCTACTTACCTACAATAATTTACAGAATAGTAATGATTTTCTTATTTAAAAAACATAAATCTTGTTTCTTGACAGTGGCGAGCAAGGAACAAAATCGTATCTGCAGTTTCAAATTGAAAGGCTGAAAGTATTAAAGGAAAAACTCAATAAAAGCGAAAGAGAAGATTCACTTAGCATCACCTTAAAGGAAGAACCGTGAGTACTTAGAGACAATTGTTATTAAAAAAATGCGCTCTGTGTATAGATTTTTTTTATTCATTATTAATCTAGTATTTCGACCGAATTGCTAGATGTCTTGGCCACAAGTTACGGCGTTTCTTAGTTTTATACTATTACAAAAATTATTGCGATTAATTATTGAGTCATATACATCGAAATTATATTTCGAGAACAGATACAGATATATAACTACAACAAAATTAATTATAACGTATTTAATACGAGGGGTGAAGCGGCCCTAACACATCAAAGGAAACGGGGAGGCAAAATAAAAAAACTGGCTGGTTTCCGTGCTTTGCCGAACGCTTTGTTCAATGTTCACTATAGTCAGTCCGGCTCCGCGCGCGCTACGGCCGTATCCTGTCGCATCTGCGACCCCGGCCCAAATAGAAAATAAGAAAAAAATATTATCTATGATTAAATAACTTTTTGGCGCGAAAACTATGCATAAATGTCATTTATTGACATGATTAATAACACGTGCTAAAAGTGTCTTTTGTTATGATGTTATTAAAGTCTTTTAGGGGTGGTTTATTTCGTAACAAGTATCTTAATTAGTGTTTAAGCGATGCAATATCAAAATATTGAGGATGACGAGTTTGAATATCGGATTTTTGGTGAATCCTACAACATTCTCACGGATAATAAACCTGCCGGTCGCCGTAGAAAGTAAGTCTTATTTCGATTTCATTTGTTACGAAAGTTTTTTGATCATTTGTAAAAGATTGAAATGATAAGGTATTATAGAAATATTTTAATATTTACCCTCTCTCTATTTTAAATATGTAAATTTTAAAGACCATTATTACCTCTAATAGTGCAAAAAAATAAATATACCTACATTTATGTTTATCTTAAAACATTTAAACAGTGAAATATTTATTTAAGTTCTATTGAATTATGATTTGATTATTGCTAGCAAGTTATGAGTACTGCTAGTGTTTGTTACTAATAACACTTAAGCACCAGCAAAATTAGACATTATTTGTAGGTACATCTACACATCTATTTCTATCAAAATAATAACTTGGGTTGGAACATACAGTTGGCTATAAACTATATATATATATATATATTAAACTATACTCTGTAAATATTAAGTCATCCTGTTTCTATTTATGAGATTGTACAAGCAAAAGTATCAATGTTTGTTTAAAAATAATTAATTTAGTTTAGCGATTATGTTTATCATCATGTTGTTGATAACATACTACAATGAACAATTTAGTTAATTTTTTTCCTGTCAGCATGTAGTTGCTGATACATAAAACATAAAAAGACAGCTTCAATTCTGTTATTAGTTATAAAACAAACTTTTTATGAATATATAATTGTTTAACTTTAACTATTGCTTAAAGTTTTTATTCCCACTACTTTCTCAAATATGTTGTATTATAACATATAAAGTTGTCAGTAAATCAATATTTTTTTACATAAATTAATTATTAAAGTAGGTAATTTTGTGTGACTAGTTGACGTTATAATGAATGATTTTCTAAAGCTTCTTATTGGGTTAATATTAATTTACAATAATTATACTGTGAATGTAAGATAAAAACACCTATTGCAATACAATGTATTGTTTATTTAAAGATACAGGTTTATCTACTTTGCTCTGTTTGAAAGAAAAATGTTTTTTGAAAAGAGTTTTAGGTTATTTCATAGCCATCCTGATTATTCACTAACATTCGATGAATTGACCCAACATTTCAAGATGTGAGTGTGTTAAGTAGTTATGATGATGGTTGCTTATTATACAGGTCCATGTGCAAGTACATAAAGGTTGTATTTATACATTTGTTATCAGTAGTCATATGCAATGTGTTATATATAGAAACAAAACTAAAAAGACCCGTCATTGTAATTGCTGCATGACTGAATACCATTGTAATGGTTATTGCTCTAGTTGTAGTGTATATATTCACATACTTATTATATAATACTGATACATTAATATGAATCAGTAACTAGAAAGAAGTCTAGGTTTATAAATCCAATAAATCGGATACTTTATTTGTTCATATTTGATGTCTTGTGCAGATATATTGTGATAGATAAAATTATACATATATATATTCTTAAAGAATACATTTTATTCTTCTGTTTAAATACCTTGCTTCCCCTCATACTCATAACCTCTCTGTATTAAGGCAAATGAGCTGAAAACTACAGCATGGCCTCACATTTTTTATACAAATATTCCAGTTTTATACTCTTGTTACCTGCTTCAATAAATACTAATTGACATACACTTCCAAAATCGCAAAACCTGAGCCGGAATTGTCATATAACCGGTTCGAGACATGATAAAAATAACCCTGATAAATGGTGTTTATTCTGTATGCCCCTTTATGTGAACCCCAAGTCTCGTCAGACCTTAGTCTAAGACTATTAGGATTCTCCTTGTACTCGGGTGAGACGCGATTAAGGGCAAGATTCGTAATTAATTCGTATTCGTAATATTGGATTTGACATGCGGGAAGTATGCTAGCGCAAAGTTTCGACTATTCGTCTAGCCATTAGACTGGCTGTTCATACGAGTATATCAAATCTGTTTAGGCATTTTAAACTATTAATATGAATGTCGCGCATACTTGTTGCTGATATCCGGATTCTATATCGAAAAAACCAGTCGTAATTATGACTCGTAGATACCATAGAGATTTACCCGGGCGGTCAGTGCGAAACTTTATTTCCTTGTTCAAATTTTGGTAATAATTTCACACTTATTAGACAATGGAAGAAAGCAGCGTATAGTATAATGAACATCGCCGTGGGCGTAGTAATTTAAAAATCGTCGGTAGCGAAGAGATAGTCTACCCTTTAATAGTCACTATGAATTTGTAAAGTATGTATTTGCTATGACTGTTCGTGTTCGTCTGCTGTAAAATTTTATTTTCCATTTGATTAAGCAAATAAGGTAAAGCTTCCTTGTTCTGGAACAACTCAAAAATTTCTCTATTTTTTTGGCTAATTCCCCCGACT